GGTGGAGTTGACAATTGAGCTGGAGGCAAGGGAGAAGTCCAGGATAAATCAGAAATTTCAAATCAGAAGTTTCAAATTTCAACTGCAATACTGATGGGGTAATGTTGATAGAGGAATGATAAGAGGGAGAATGTCTTTTGAATGATGATGCAAACAAGTATACAGAGGGTATTAGATAGTGGGAGGTGAGTGTTTGAGAAGTACATGTTCTAAAAGTGGTCATTTTCAAACTATGTATTTTAAATTTTATTTTATTGAGTTATATACATATGATAGGTTTCTCCCCTTTTAGTGTATCGTTCTATGAATTTTGAGAGGTGAACACATTCATCTAATCAGTACCACAGTCAAGATAAGGTCAGTTTTAGTACCCTAAAATCACCCCATGCCCCTTTGCAGTCAGCCCCTCCTGGGCTTCCCCATCTCCTGACAACCACTGATCTCGCTTATGTGCCTCTAGTTAAAACTGCATTTTAAAGAATTACAGGGACCACCACAGGCTAAGAGATGCAGGTTCTGTCCCTGGGTTGGGCAGATCCTCTGGAGAAGGAAATGGCAACCCCCTTCAGTATTCTTGCCTGGAGAATCCCATGGACAGAGGAGCCTGGTGGGCTACAGTCAGTCCATGGGGTCGTAGAGTCAGACATGACCGAGCATGCGTGCATGCTCACGAGGGACTCACGAGGGGCCACCGCAGGGTAGACCAAGATGATCATGGGGGCTGAGCTGAAGCCCTCAACCTTTCTCCTGACTTCATCTAGACAAATTTGGCTTCTCTGATTCGTGTTTTATATATTGGCAGTTTACTTAACACTTGGGGTGAGGTAGAAAAATTACATAACTAAATACTTGAAAACTATTATTCTACAGTCTTAATGATACCGCTCTAAGCCACCAATATCTCTTACCTATAGTTTGGCAGGTGCCTCTGAGCAGATTTCTCTGCTTTGACCTTGGCCCACTATAGTCTCTTCTCAGCAGAACAGTCCATAAGATCTTTTTACAATGTAGATTAGGTCATATCATTTGTCTTAAAACCTTATAATGATTCCCCCTTTAGTGAGAGTAAAGGCCAGTTCTGAGAACTGACCTAGAAGGCCATCCTTTCTCCTGTTGACTTACCAGCCCTCTCTCTTTCCACTCTCCTCTTTGCTTCTCTGTCTATGCTCATTATACTGGCGTCCCTTCTGTTCCTAAAACAATGAGTCATGCAGTCACTTTAGGGACCTTTGCCTTATCTTTTACTTTGTTTTTTGATTGAATTAAAAGTCATGTAACATCAAACTAACCATTTTAAGGCTTAAAGTGTGTAAGTCAGTGGTATTTAGTACCTTTTCAGTATGTAACCATCACCTCTATCTTGCTCTGAAACCTTTTCATCACCCTCAAATGAGACCATGTATACATTAAATGTTCCCTCCCACTTCTTCATCTCCCCATCCCTGGCAACCACTAAGTTGCTTTCTATCTGTATGAATTTCCCTGTTCTGGACATTTCATATAAATGGAATCGTATAATATTGACCTTTTGTGTCTGGCTTCTTTCACTTTCACATCATGTTTTCAAGGTGCATCCATGTTGTAGTACTTCATTCCTTTTTATGGCCAAATAATATTCCATTGTGGATATATCAATTTTTGTTCATCCATTTACTCTTTCATGAACAAATTCGTTCATGGGTTATTTCTGCCTATTACCTATTGTGAAAGTGCTGCTTGAGCATGTATTACAGTATTTGTTTGAATGTGTATTTTCAGTTCTTTTCAGTATGTACCTAGGAGTGGAATTGTGTGTGTCTGTGTGTGCGCATGCTCAGCCGTGTCTGACTCTTTGCAACCCTGTGGACTGTAGCCCACCAGGCTCTTCTGTCCATGAAATTTTCCAGGTAAGAATACTGAAGTGGGTTGCCATTTCCTTCTTCAGGGGATCTTCCCAACCCAGGGATTGAAGCCATGTCTCTTGAGTCTCCTGCATTTTCAGGCAGATTCAAGCCCAGGAGTGGAATTGCTGGGTCATAATTCTATGTTTAACTTCTTGAGGAACCACCAAACTGTTTTCCATAGCAGCTGAACTATTTTCCATTCCCACCAGCACTTTCCTTTGTTTTTACATCTTCATTTTCAAGTTTTCTCTCAGACTTCACCTTCTCAATGAGATACACTGATCACCCTGTTGGTCCTGTAATCTGCTTCTGTCCCCACTCTGGCCTTGTTATCCTTCTTTCCCCCCTTTTCTCTATTTGCATATTTCCATAACGTGGTCTCTTCTTTTAGGCACATGCAGTATTGTTTCATTATACTTAGTACTACCTCTTATACATAGAAACTCTTACTCTTTCCTAAATCATAGAACCTGCTCACCTCAGCAGTCCATCAGACACCTGTCGTTGCATGGGTATGCAGAGTTAGTCTTAGAAAAAGAATATTGCACATGTTAATTAGAACTTAGTGCACAGTGCTTGAGAACCTTGCTTTATCATCTGTTGAATAACAGGGTTGAACCGTCATGATTTGGAACTTGTTTGTTGATTGGCTTTCCTTCAAAGCTTCTCACAAGTATAGCAAATGATACATGATTTTCATACTTTAAAAATGCTGATTATATTTGTCAGCCTAGCAACATTACCTATATGGGAGGGTTATGTATTGAATTGGAACAGGATCCTAAAATGTGTTTGTATTAAAGATGGTCAAGGAAGTCTCTGTCTGTAGCACAGCTGGAGTGTAAGGCCATGACTGTATGCAAGCCACTTCCCTGAGTCTCTCTTCTGTAGGGGAAAAAGTGAGAAAGTGCATTTTACAGGAGATTTGGCCACAGCTAACACCACAGAACACTAAGTCTAGGTATACTCTCAGGAAACCTGGGGAGTTCAGACTGGTGTCTAGGCTCAAGCTCCCTGCACCCACCTTCAGATGTGGTCTGAGTAGCAGCCGGAGGAGTAGCTTTAACCTTCAGTTTATAACCTCCTTTTAAATAGGTTTCCTGGCATGAGCGTCTTTGTTCTTAGAAGCTCGACATTTGATTTGCTTATTTACCTTTACATTTTTTTCATACTACTTTCTTTTCTTAACTCAAGTTTAAGAAGCAACTGAGATCATTGTCTTTCCAAACACATTCAGTGCTCTCTTTGCCAATTTGCCGAGACTTGAGCTTCCCAGGTGGCATAAGAGAGCTGGGTTCGATCCCTGGTTGGGAAGACCCCCTGGAGGAGGGCATGGCAGCCCATTCCACTGTTCTTGCCTGGAGAATCCCATGGACAGAGGAGCTTCTAGATCTATGGTCCATAGGGTCGCACAGAGTCAGACACGACCAAGTGATTTAGCACACAGCACATGGATATTCTCAGTTGTGCAATGATGTCCGTGGATTACTTGACAGCAAAATTTTAAGATATTTTGAAGTTCTGAAGTAAGAGATAAAAGTTTTAGTGGTGTTGGTTTTCTTTCTGTGTAATCCAGATCTCAAAATAGAACTCAAAGATTGTTCATCTATTTTATGGAAAGAAAACAGAATTGATAGGAAAAAAGTTAAAGGGAAGTCCCCACATGTTGGAGACAGAGAGCAAGGTCAAGGACTAATTGTACCACCACGGCTTCCTGAACAATGAGAGAGGAAGCAGGAATTGGTGGGTTCATTCCTTCAAGGAGTTTTGTTAATATGTCGACAAGGCTCCCCCTACTCTACTTGACAGAATGAGTACTTAACCAGAAAAGCAGGAAACCTGTCTTTATGATTTTTTAAAAGTTTATTTCATGATCTGAATATCTCTTTCATACTGTTTGAGTATCTGATTTTTCAAAAAGAAACAATGGGATGAGGGGTGTAGATTTCAGACAGAACTGATCTCTTTGTTCCCACAGACGCTTCATAATCCATTTATGTCCATTTGTGACTCTCTGCCCATTTCTGAACCCTCTGCAGTCGCTGATCGATTTATAATCCTCGTATCCTTCCAGAGTCCCTTGCTTGTTGTAGGACCACACTGAGACAGGGGTGAAAGAAAATACCAGAAGCCATGGAAACCAACCCTGTTCAGAGAGGCTGTTCTCTGCCCTATAACAAAGCACTGGAGAAAATTAATTCCTGTCATATAGTAAAAATCTCCGTAAACACTGTAGTTATCATGATCTTGGGGCAATCATATAGAAATTTGTCCTTTTTGTGTGTTTGTTGTTGTTGTTTGTCTGTGAGACACAGACTAAAGTTTCCGTTGTTTGAGTTTAGATGAGATGAGTTACAGGAAACATGAAATGTGATGCACTGTGACTGTTTTTTTCTTGAGTGATCTTTCTTTAACAGAAGCAGACCTTGGCAAGATTTGTTGCAAGATAGCCGTATACTAATAGGTAGAAACAGAAATGACTATGAAAACCAGATGTTTTGTCTGGGCCTGTCTTCAGAAACAGGATTTCAGTGTTGGCATATATCATTTTTCTCTTGTTTACCCACACTGATTAAAGGGCATTTATCTAGTGGTGTGCACAATTGCTGTGTGCGGGACTCATTTGCATGCTCTTACCACGACAGTGTCTGCACAACATGATATTTCTGTTGGCAATTTAAGTTTATTACTTCAGAAACTGTCATACTGGAAGTCCAGGATGTGAGCGATATTTATTTTTATTTAAAATTACTAGGGGGATTTGTTAGACAAAACCTAGTTTCCTGACATTGACAAGAGGCTTTCTAGAGTTTCTCCCTAATTTTCAAAGACATATTTGTATTACACATGCATCTTAACTTGTGGTCATTGTAGGATTTTATTTGCTTTAATTTAGAAAATTCCAGGCTTATTTTATTTTGTCTTTGCAGGATTCTAAACTCCCCTCCTTTGAAAATCTCCAAAAGATCTTATTTGCGGTTATGATCCTAGACGGATTTGGTTTGTTTTAGAATCTAAACCATTGAAATGAAGGGAAAGAAAGAGTTCCCGATACAGTTTTCATTTTATTCTGTTTTAATATTGTGCAGCCTGACTTATGGTACATTTTCCCCACAGGTTCATATCCAGCTTTCCGAGTGGCACCGGGCAATTTTTCTCCCCCAGGCCTGGCTCGCGTATGTGACTCGTGCTTATCATGCCATTTTACAGGTAATGAAATCATGGGATGGCTTGCTTTAAGGCCTCTTTTTTTAAGATTTACTGCAAATATGTATTTAATGTAAAAGCACTTAGGAGAATAGCATTATCAAAAATGCAGCAGTTTTCTTCTTTCTGACTTATATTAATGCAAATATGTGGCATCTAGAAAAATGGTACAGAGGAACCTATTTGCAGGGCAAGAATAGAGATGCAGACTAGAGAATGGACATGTGGATTCAGGCAGGGAATGGGAGGGTGGGACAAATTGGAAGATTAGGTTTGACATATGCACCCTACCATGTGTAACATAGGTGGCTAGTGGAAAGCTGTTTTATTGCGCAGGGAGCTCAGCTAGGTGCTCTGTGATGACCAAAAGAAGTGGGATGACGGTAGGTTAGAGGGAGGCTCAAGAGGGATGGGAAATATATATACATACAACTGATTCACTTCATTGTACAGCAGAAACGAACACGTTTTAAAGCGATTATACTCCAATAAAAAATGCAATGGTTATTTTTGCTCATAAAAGAATGTGAAGTGTACATATATAACTGCCCTTAAATTTTCAATGTGATGGCCCCCCAAATGTGTGTTCCATCCAGAGCTCCCTCTTGAATGCTACTCTCCTGTGTTCTGCTGCTTGGTGAATGTCTGTTATTGTACCTGCTGTCCCCCATGGCTGGCCCACAGTACCTCGACTTGAGCACATCCCAGACTGAGTTCACCATCTTGTACCTGCCCCCTCTCCATCTAGACTTGCTTACATCTCCAGCTTTATGTCTTAACCCTTCCCCTGCATTTTCAATCTTGCTCAATTTCTTTGTTTTAAACACAGCATGTCTTCCCTAACCTCTTAATTTTTTTAGTGCCCCAGCCAGGGATCAAACCGAGGCCCCCTGTATTGGGAATGTAGGGTCTTAGCCACTGCACCACTAGGGAAGTATACCCTAACCATTTGACTTTTACCTACACTGTTCTTTTGCAGGCACTGCTGCTTCCCTTTGCCTACTCAAGGCTCTTTTGCAGCTTTTCCCTTTTTGTCAAATTCCAGGAGTAAGTTTCACTTTGTATGTATAGTTAGTCATGGTGGTTTAAGGGGCACATGTTGGAATGGCAAATTTCTACTTGTTCTTTATGGTTTTATCTGTGTGTCTCCCCTCTCCCCCCAGGGTTGTCTGCCCCTCACATATGCTTCCTTAGAACACTGGCTTCCCTCTAGAAGCCCTCATCCCTTAGTTATGTGTCCAGGGTCTCCCTCCAGCTGTCTCTCTTCCTTACAGTCAGAAGCTGTTTTCCTACCTGTTGTCTCTCCAGAACCTGGTATGTCTAAAACATAGTAGGTGCTCACTAAATAAATGAATTATGCTTCATTTGACTACTTTTATTCCAATAATATTCTAAGTTATAGTTTGTGAATTTCAAAAATTAGAAATAATTTAACCAGTTTGGGAATATATAAACTAGGAATATATATAAATGAAAAAAAAAAAAAACCTACTAACTTAATCCTTTTTCCTAGCTTAAAATTCATTGTTAAGGATGATAGGGAAAAAAATCTAAATTACTTAAGAAATTGATGGCCCCAAATAAGATTTTCATGAAGTCTTAAGAAATAAGGTGTTGTGGTTAAATATAACAGGTGTCCCCAACATCCGGGATCTAATGCCTGATGATCTGAGGTGGAACTGATGTAATAATAATAGAAATAAAGTATACAATAAATATAATGTGCTTGAATCATCCCAAGACCACATTCCTCCTACCTTCTGGTCTGTGAAAAGATTGTTTTCCACAAAACTGGTCCCTGGTGCCAAATAGGTTGGGGACCACTGTCCTAAAGGATGGAGGCGGGGCCAGAAGAATGACTAAGCATCTCAGCATTCATGTTTGCATCTTAAAACCTTGCTACAACATATTCAGTCTCTGATGCTTTAATAGAGGATGTACTCCAATATAGGCACCCGGATGCAGTAAGAATAACTTCTTCTCCTGCAGAATGTTCTGAGAATTTTATTTAGCTCTTAGCATAAGGAAGGTCAAATTGGACAGGATTGTGGTATAACGTGGGCATCTCTGGTGTCTCAGGCAGTAAAGTATCTTCTGCAATGTAGGAGACCCTGGTTTGATCCCTGGGTTGGGAAACTCCTCTGGAGAAGGGAATGGCAACCCACTCTAGTATTCTTACCTGAAGAATCCCATGGACAGAGGAGCCTGGAAGGCTACAGTCCATGAGGTCGCAAAGGGTTGGACACAACTGAGCAACTAAGCATACCCTTATGGGATATAACATGCAGATGACAAGCAATTGATTTTTTAAAAATACTCTATGGTTTCCTTTTCATAATAAGACCTTTATTAAATGACTAGTGTCTGTCATTTGACTAGTCCACCAACATGTAACATTTAGTATTTCAATTTATCTTTACAGAAGCCCTTTAAAGTAGGTATTGTTAACCTCATGTAGAATGGGATTATGGATGGGAAAGCAGGGTTAGCAGGAAAGCAAAGCAAACAGCACACAACCCAACAGTCAGTAAATGAGAGAACTAGAACTTAACTTGGATTTGTCTGATTCCAGAGCCACAGCCTTTGCCACCATGTCATGCTTTTTCCCTAACATCATCATTGTGTGCCTCTGACTCTTTGCAACTCCATGGACTATAGTCTGCCAGACTCCTCTGTCCATGGGATTTCCCAAGCAAGAATACTAGAGTGGGTTGCCATTTCCTTCTGCAGGGGAATCTGCCCTACGCACAGGTTAGACTTCCGTCTCCTGCTTTGGCAAGCTGATTCTTTACCACCGAGCCACCTGGGCAGTCCAAGACAATCATTAATTGTTACAAATAATGCAAATTGGTTTAATATTTTTGAGATCAATTTATGAAAATCCAGCTAAGTATTTGTAATAATACAGGTCAATTATTCTGCCTTTTCTATTGTTGTCGGTGACAGTATGTATCTTTATGTGTATTCATTTATCAATTAAAATCTCTTTCCTTTGGATTTCTAATAAGTCTAGTTCCATTGAGAATTGGTGATTAAGAGATGAAACTCAAAGTAGGGACTATAAAAAGATTTTCAGTATTATTTTGAAAGTATAGCAGTGCTCTTTAGGCTATGAGTATTATTTGATATGCAGATGCATTTTAACTGTTCAACAGGTTGTTTTTTTTTTTTTTAATGAGCCCACACATTTAAATAGAATTTACAGGATCTTAGAAGAATTAGAGCGACTGCCAAACTCCTCATCTATATCAAGAATTTCCGTCCTGGAGGATAGCTCTTTGGTACAGGAGGCAGAGTTACTTCCATCTGGTGCTAGACATGTTTTGTAGACTACAGCATCGGAGCCATGTTTTATTCAATAAGCCTAGGAGACACTCTGAAAGGTACATTCTGCATTATTTCCTGGAGGTTGACTGTAATGTGAATAAGTTTGCAATTTAAACACTTCCAGTGGCTTTCGCTTGGGCGTCAGCTTCTAGCCTCATGTAATTTTCCACAAGAACATGGGATTTTGAATTAGAAGCATATCAAAGTGATTGACATGGGGAGGTATTTGAATTTCCTCCCATGAGGTTGAAAAATGCAGCTACAGGTTGACTGACAGTTTTGAGTCCATTTTGGAAAGGTGCCATCCCGTCAACTTGACCTCGCTGCTTTTGAGGGCTGCTAAGGAGGTTAAGGTTTCCAACCTCTGTGAAAGGGTCTTTAGGGACTGTGACTATCATCTCAGACAGGACGGAGGGCTTAAACTAGGTTGACCGAAGATACTTGTTTCCTGCATTGGTGAGCTGTCCACACATTAATCTGAAGTCAAAACCAGTAGGAATTGTGACTACTAGTAAAGTACTCTTTGACCATTTGTAAAGGTTGTTTGTTTGTTTTTGATGTGCAAGTTTAGAGTTAGGCAAAATTGCTCACTGTAATTAGCAAGTTGTAGTTACATAGGCTGAGGGTATTCTTTTTTTTAAAAAAGGAAGATGAATGGATAAATTAATAATCGGAATCTACAGGCCATCCAAAAATCTCAGTTCAAGTGATCCTTTCAGCCTTTTCTCTCCCAACGAGTGTTCCCTCTACCTCACCCCTCTTCTTACCCATAGCTGTTAACCAGAAGCAGAGGAGACTGAGTTAAATGCCACTGGATCTCGTATCAGTAGGTGAAGAATTGGATGGCAAAGTGGCTCTGAATAAATAGCCTAACATTGACTGGGTGGAAGGAGTTAGAGACATTTCAGAAGCGAAGATTGAGAAGAACCAAAACTCTGAGAAAGGAAAAATGAAAAGTGTACTTAGTCACAGTAGAGTTGTACTGATTTGTTGCTACAGGAGAGATCAGAAAAGTCAGCCTTCTCAAGAGGCTGCATGTGTACCGGCCTTTTTGTGTTTTGTTTCTTTCTGAACAGATTTTTAACCTTTTAATTTCTTATCTTTTACGGAAAGCATTATGGAATGTAAATATTTTAGGAGGAAAGAGGAATGATTTAAGAAGCATAATAAACAGAGGTAGGCAATAAGCATGATTTTCTGTTTTGCCTACCCTCTTGGAAGGCTACAGTCAATATTAAATATTAATATCTTGCCAGTTTGACCACCTCTGATACCTTGCTCCAAGAGACAGAGGGAGAATGAAAAGGTCAGAATTCTATCATGGAAAACACAGAGGTAGGGATGGACATTGACTGAGGTAAATAGACTATGAAGGACGTGAACAGAATGCCCACCAGATCTCACTGTGCTGAACTGGTGAGCCCCAGGGCACTATGTGCTGGACGCTGTGCAGAATGCAAGGCCTCCTTAGCTGGATAAAGGGTCCTTGTCCTTGCCAGTGAGCTTACGGGCTGGTAACGAGAGTGTGTGAGAGAAATACAGGGACGTGCAACTGTATAGTCTGGATATTACATTTTGGGGAACCTTTTACCCTTTGAGAGTATGCAGATTAAAAATATGAATTATTTCAAGAAGGTTTCATATACATATATATTCATGAGAGAATAGCTTATAAGGAGATAATAAGGGGGATTTGTTTTCTATGGCAGAGCTGATAATGGTAGCAATTATTCCCAGTCACTTTACTAAATAGACACTTTTTCACATTATTTGGTGTGATACTGTAATACCATAAGTTAGGTGTTTGCTATATTTTACAGATGGAAACCGAAGCTTAGAGAGGTGAAGTAACTTGCCCAAATTTACACAGCACACAAATAGAAATGCCATTAGGTCAGGGCATCATGATTTCAGAACCCACAGTTCAGTTCAGTTCAGTCGTTCAGTCGTGTCTGATTCTTTGCGACCCCATGAATCGCAGCACGCCAGGCCTCCCTATCCATCACAAACTCCCGGAGTTTACTCAAACGCATGCCCATCGAGTCGGTGATGCCATCCAGCCATCTCATCCTCTGTCGTCCCCTTCTCCTCCTGCCCCCATTCCCTCCCAGCATCAGGGCCTTTTCCAATGAGTCAACTCTTCTCATGAGGGGGCCAAAGTATTGGGAGTTTCAGCTTCAGCATCAGTCCTTCCAATGAAAACCCAGGACTGATCTCCTTTAGAATGGACTGGTTGGATCTCCTTGCAGTCCAAGGGACTTTCAAGAGTCTTCTCCAACACCATAGTTCAAAAGCATCAATTCTTCGGCACTCAGCTTTCTTCACAGTCCACTCTCACATTCATACGTGACCACTGGAAAAACCATAGCTTTGACTAGATGGACCTTTGTTGGCAAAGTAATGTCTCTGCTTCTTAATATGCTGTCTAGGTTGGTCATAACTTTCCTTCCAGGGAGTAAGCATCTTTTAATTTCATGGCTGCAGTCACCATCTGCAGTGATTTTGGAGCCCAAAAAAATAAAGTCTGACACTGTTTCCACTGTCTCCCCATCTATTTCCCATGAGGTAATGGGACCAGATGCCATGATCTTAGTTTTCTGAATGTTAAGCTTTAAGCCAACTTTTTCACTCTCCTCTTTCACTTTCATCAAGAGGCTTTTTAGTTCCTCTTCTCTTTCTGCTATAAGGGTGGTGTTATCTGCATATCTGAGGTTATTGATATTTCTCCCAGCAGTCTTGATTCCAGCTTGTGCTTCTTCCAACCCAGCGTTTCTCATGATGTACTCTGCATATAAGTTAAATAAGCAAGGTGACAATATACAGCCTTGACGTACTCCTTTTCCTATTTGGAACCAGTCTGTTGTTCCATGTCCAGTTTAACTGTTGCTTCCTGACCTGCATACAGGTTTCTCAAGAGTCAGAACCCACATCCTTAACCTAAAGTTATATTGTTTTCCCCTCTAGAATATATAGAGAGATACATTTTTCTTCTGTAGAGCACACCCTAAAACTCTAAAATCAACAAGAAAAATCAACCAATAGAAAAATGAACAGAAAAAGAAACCCGAAGAGTCTTTAAACATTTGGAAAGATGCTTAATCTCAGTAAACAGTAAAATGAAAATTAAAACCATAATGGTCCCCATTTTCACACTCCCCAAAATGGTAAGAATTTAAAAGCCTGACAATCCCAAATGCTGTCAAGGATGTGAGATAGCCGGAAATCATTTACCGCTAGTGGGAACATAAGCCACACAAACGCTTCTGAAAATAGTTTGGTATTACTCTGTAATACATAATAATAAGTTCTTGTTTGATTCAAGGTATATCAATACACCAGAATTTTAACTACATTTACATAATGTAACTGGTGATGCAGGAAAGGGGAAAGCATCTGATCAAAACAATTCTGAGTGTAAAAAAAAATAGAAAATAAATATTTGAAGGTTTTGCCTTTAATGGGATGATGATATTAGCTATATATATATATATATATATATATATATATTTTTTTTTTGGCGGGGGGGCCTGGTACTGGTTGAGAATTATGTGTGTAAGTTTAGTCAAGAAATAGAAATGTAGTGTGCAGCTGTTTGATAATAATTTTTGTTACACCTTACCTAAATCTTAAGTATTATGTCCTTCTTACTCATTTTCTAATCATTCTGTTGTAATACTGGTAACCCAATCTCGGTATTGTGTCAGTTCAAATTAGCAACTGCTGACACAGTCAGATTATTACTATATGGAGGATTTATTGAATGGGACCTATGAACTTCAAATCTGCTTTTAATAGATATCCCAACATTTAATGCTCTGCACTAAATTGGCCAAATATACAACTGCTCCAGGATATACTTATTTGGTGAATGTGGAAATCCCTGAGCAGTCATATAATTCTCTCTCCTCACGCATCCTCTGTCATAATCTGTTGTCTTATCAGGAACACCTAAGGCCACTTGGGAATGGATCCATCTGTTACCTAAGTGTTTTCCAAAGAAATTTTAAGATCATTTTGGCCATAGAGTTTGCATGCTGATGGATGCTGTGCTTTTTTCAGGGAAGGATAGGAGAACTGGAATTGCAGTTAAAACATGGAAAAGAAGGACCTGAAGAGGTGCAGTACAAAAAAAACACAGCCTGGCTCTGGTAAGGGGATGGCTTCCTGTGCTCATTATTTGCCATGGGAAATGAACTGTAAAGGAGAAGGTGACTGCCTTTAAAGACTTAAATGTTAGAATTCTAACCTCTCTAAGAGCCTCAGGGGGCAAGGGCCAAAGATGTGATAGGTGTATTTTCCATCTTCTCCCCAGATAAAAGAAGGAGCGCTTTATTCATGGATTTTATTTATTTTTATTGCTTTCTTAAGCAGTGTGAAAATGGTTTGTTTTTCCCTTTTCCCCCTATAATTGATTATTTTATATGCTTTTGAATAAAGTTTGAGTGTTTTTCTCACTCATTTAGTCAAAGAATACCTTCCTCTGCCCTGCTCTTCCCTCCTCAACACATCTTCATTACTAGGAGCAACTTTACCATGTCAAGACTAATTTCTTTGGCAGAAATCCCCCAGTGAATTCCCACTATATTATCTAGAAATGTGTAAGTGCTGGCACATTAAAAGCAGTTTAAATTGTTACATAGGGTGGAATGAATACCTTGTCAGATTAATGTTGCAGCAGCCTAAATCTAAGTAAAGTGCCCAGAATCTAATAAATAACTTTGCCTGTAGCCACAGGTTTCTTTAATATAAAAATCCGTTCAAAGGTTACTTGGGTTTCAGTTTTTAATTTACTAACAATTGGCATATGTAGAAAAGCAGAAGCTCTGTGTGTGTGTGTGTGTGTGTGTGCTTGCATGTTTAAATAATTCCATTCTAAGTTATATTTCCCAGATTCATTTTAAAAATAGCAATGCAGTTTAAAACATTATGACATTGGATTTAAGACTAGAGATTAAGCATTTGGATTTTGCTTCCTATTTGCTATTTTCCTTTACACATGGTTTTAATTTCATCTTCTGAAAATGATAATCTGGTGAGTGGTATGTTAGCTATACTATTCCAAATATACATGGTGACATATGGAATCAAGGATGTGAGAGAGAGATGGAAGTCAAGGATAACTAAGATTTTGACTGTGAATAAGTATGGCATTCTCATTTACTAAGATAGAGAAAACTACAGAAAAACAGATCTATCTAGAATAGAAATTAGATTTGAGACATGCTAAGCCTGAGATGCCTAATTAGACCTACAGTTTGGAGGTATCAAGTAGGTTGTTGACTATGAGTCTAGAGTTCAGGGTGAGTTCAGGGCTGGATATATAAATTTGGGAATCATCAGCATATCAACTGCATTTAAAATCATGATGCTGGATGAGGTCATCTAGGGAATGAGCAAAGACAGAGAAAAGGTCAGAGGACTGAGCCCTGGAACACTTCAACATTTAGAAATAGGTCAGATGAAGAGGGAGCCAATAAAGCAGATGGAACATTAGTTAGTGATCGGTACTGTGGGAGGAAAACCAAGAGAGAATGGAATCTGAAAGGCCACCTTAAAAGCTTAGGGAAGAAAGTGTTTCAAGAGAAGAGCAATCAGTTGTGTCAGATACTGCTCTGAGACTGTGAAAGATGGAGACTGAGAGTTGAGTGTTAGATTGGCCTCTTGACAGTCATTGTTAACCAAGAAGGAGCTCTTTTGTAGGGACAAAAGTCAAATTATAGAGAGAATGGAAGGAGGTAAACTGGAGTCCCAAGTATAAACTGTTCTTCTAAGTGAGTTCTGAGGTGTGAGATGCAGTGAAAGGGGCAATAGCTGGGGGGCTTCTTTTTCTAAGATGGTAGATGTTATAGTGTGTTCACAAGCTAAGGGGAGTAATGCAAGTGGAGAAGGAATTGGTGATGCGGCAGAGAAGGGAGAGCAGGTGGGGGGAGGGACCTAGCGGAGGCTGTTGCCCTATGTAGAAGTACAGGCAGCTCATCGTGTGTAAATATTTCATGTTGACCAATAAAAGAATACACGGAATGCACTATACTCCATTTAGGAAGGCCAAGATTGGACAATATGTTTTAGAGAAGCTTATTGTCAAATGGTTTTATAAAGTACAAGTTTAAGGATCAGTTTGTATGGATCAGTTGGCTCTTAAGAATGACTCATTCTGAGAGTGCTGAATAGCTAAGATTTTATTTTAAATGCAACTACTTACAAATGCAAATATAATTTATATTTGTAAAACATATAGTTATGAAAACTTTAAATTTATGAAACTCAAAGTGTCTAGTGAAAATATTTATGATATTCTCTTCATAATATAAATTTGTCAATGATTGTTTTTCACTTTATCTTAAGACTTGTGAAAAAAATCCTATGAATATTTGAATTGAACATACCTTCCTTTTAAATCCATAAATGTAGTTTTTTTAGTTCAACTTTATAACCATGTTTTTTTAAATTGAGGTATGATTGACATATGAAATTATATTAGTTTCATGTATATTGTAGCCAGCATTTTCAATTTTATTTTATATACATACATAGTGACGATGCTGTTATCTATAACTTGGGAGTAGTAAATTGTTGTCTTGATGAGCTCCTGTGTAGAAAAAAGAGAATGTCTTGTTCAGGCTTCTGTAATGAAAATATCATAGACCAGATGGCTTAAACAACAGAAATTTATTTCCCACGGTTATAGGAGCTGAGAAGCCCTAGATCAAGGTGACAGCCCACATGGTGTCCTAAGCCCTGCTTTCTAAGTTTGCTGATGGGCTGCCTGCTCCTTGTAGTTTCGCTTGGTGGAGAGCAGAGAGAAAGCAAGCCCACTGGTCTGTCTTCTTATAAGGACACTCATCCCATTCGTGAGGGCCCCACTCTTATGACCTCCTAAAGGTCCCACCTCCAGATGCTATACATTCAGAGTTAAGATTTCATGTTGGAGTGGGAGACACATTCAGTCCATAACAAAGAATAATATAAAGGACACATGTATACCCACCACTCAGTGTAAGAGTATATACTATGACAACACTGCCTATATGTGAGTTACATTCACCTCCTTCCCTGTTTCTCCTAAGTAATCTAAGGAATAAGAAGATGAAACTATCTTGGAGGCGAAGCCTTTATTAAGTTCTTTCACCTTACGCTAAAATTCTATGTGGAAATTTTAAGATCTGGAGTCATTGAAAGAGGTTCTTGTTAATTGATGAATAAGCAAAAAGATTGCTTTCTTGCTCTGCTATAACGTCACATTCCTGTTTTCCAACTGCATTGCAGGGTTCGAGACATGCTGACTGATGAAGTCATCAAAGCATCTGCAAAGTAAGATCCATTTATTCTCTTACCAGGAATTTTCTATAAACATTTTTTCCCCTTACAGGCATGAATAATTCCTCCTTTTCAGGTATTTCATAAGGATTTTAAAGGACTTTTTAGTTCTTTTTTAAAAAATGAGTCGTCGTCCTTTCTCAGGTGCAGTTAATTCTCACTGCATGTCCTTCTGTGAAAATACAGAGAAAGCAGTTCAGGCACGTAACTTTTGCATCAAAGATATGTCTGTGTTGTACACTTTACAGAATGCTCTGTGCTTTGGCTTAGATTTAAAGGACTGCAGTTAGTATGGGGCAAAAGTCTTTGCTAGTGTGAGTTATGTCTGTTTTACAAATAGATGATTAAATCTCAAGTGTGAGCCAGTAAACAATTTAAGGCCAAGCCTTTTATTCTCCTGGTAGTATTGGACCAAGTATATCTAAATAAACTAATGTGAAGACTCAGTAAAAAGGCAGCTTCTATCATATCTTTATGACTACTTTAACAAAAATAGCTTGAGCATTACTACCTTAAGGCTTTTTATTTATCGTAAGCCACCTCTCACTGAGAAAATTATACCCTAGTCAACTTGCTTGAACAATCTCTTCAGGTCCCTTTGTTAGCAAGCTGCCTAATTTTCCTGGTAGTAAGTTACATGTCAGTTACATACACTTCTTTTCACTATTCACCTTAGTTGCTGCCATTTCTGTTTGACTTCCTTTCTTCTTATTCACTAAATAATATAGATACACCTTTGACCTAGAGGATTTCATATGTACTGAAAGTCCATATTATCTAGAAATATTTAACTACAATATAGTTGATTTCTCTCATGTCCCAGAACCTTATGTAAAGATAAAACATGATCTACCTTAGAGTTCACTTTCCACTGGCAATGTCTTACACAGATACTTTGCTGTAAAATCTGATCTCGGTACCTGATCACTATTCAGCCTTATGTCTTCTGAATAAAGGGAAAGAGAAGCGGTAATCCTCCCCTACCCTCAGTTATGTGGGAGTACTGGGAAATACCTGCTGACGTATCTGTTGACAAAATGAAAACTAAAATACAGAGAAGGTTCGCTAGGAACTCATTTGTGTCTGCTTCTGTCGTTTGGTGAAGTGCAGACACAGTGGGAGAGCATTCAGCTTCTTATTGGAGGGGAGAAGGTGCTGGGGTGGGGACTGCCTTTAACCTTTACCTTTCAGAGTTGATTCTATTCAATAGTCTACTTAGTTCTTGTTAAAAAACAATGCCCTGAAATTTGCAACAAAAGCTCAAAGGCTGAAGAAACTAGCATCTTTCTATTAAAACAAACTGTAATTTTGCCTCTGCAGTAGCTTTTGCAGATCCCATTCTAAAATTTTATTTCACCAAGACTTTAATCTTCAAATCTGCAAAGCATCATTTCATGACTAGTACCTAAGTAAAGTGTGTTCACATTCCCAGTGATATTGAGTAAAAATAATTTATGTTCTCATGGTGTTACCTTTTCATCAAACATTTCAAAGTGCTTTATAGATCTTATCTTATTAAAACCATCCTGACAATACTAGGGATTGACAAGTGAGCAGGAGATAGTTAAGGTCCAGAGGCTGAGAGATTAATGATAGAGAGGAAGAAAAAAATCACCCTGCTGCCTTCTCTGTACTTTTTCCCACTGGCTTCCTCCAGTTATGTGAGGACCCCTTATCACCTCCTGCCAGTTTAGTCTTCTGTTCCTCGGACTGTGGCTGGCTTAGATGGTGGTGGTGGTTGTTTTAGTCAATAAGTCATGTCCAGCTCTTTTGCATGGACGATAGCCCATCAGGTTCCTCTGTCCATGAGATTTCCCAGGCAAGAATACTTGAGCTGGATGCCATTTCCTTCTGCAGGGGATTTTCCCAACCCAGGAACTGAACCCACGTCTCCTGCAATGGCAGGAAGGCAGATTCTTTACCACTGAGCCACCAGCTACTTTGGGCCAATGTAGGACTTATTTTGTTCTGAGGCATAAATTAAATGTAGGAAGTAAAACACTAGTCACAGGATTAGACTGATGTAAATTTATTTTTGTTGTTAATAATTAAATAGGTTTGAACCTAAAGATAAAAATCCCCAAAGGATTGGGTCACTTCACTACTATGTAATGTAATACTTTGTCCCTAAGAAAGCATCAGTGTAGCTCATCCTTCCTTGAGCTTTTTAATTAGGTTAATGGAATCCGTTTCAAAGGACAATTTAATTAAAATGTCAGTGGTGTTGCCTAGATAAATTCTGTACTGATGCTGACAGGTTATTATGCAAATTAGTCACCACTACTTGACTGGTTGGGGATAGTTATGTGATCAACAAGGTGAAGAATTTTAGCTGAACAAATTCTAGAGTTTCACCTGGCTAGCTCCTCCTTGAATATGTCTCATGAGTATGTATGGAGTGTCTTCTCTCCGTAAGTCACTATGCAAGGCCTGTAGGGAATGTAAAGATGATGAAGAGCTAGTCACCATACCTTTATGAATGTGTAACTTGGCCTAAGCATACTTTGTGTGACTTTTTTTTCTATTCAAACATTAATGTACAGATATGCTTTTAGTCTGCATCCAAAGATCTAATTACCAGTGACTTTAAATATATTTTTCTCCATTTTACAAAAACAGTACATGCTCAGTAATGTAAAAGACCAGTGAAACTTTTCAAATGCAACTATTTGGGGCACTGTTTTAAAACTGAGGCTAAATTCTCTTTTAGAATTTTAGGGTTAAAAAGACACTTTATAACATCTTGACTGTTTTTTGTTTTAATATGGACCAGTTTTAAAGTCTTTATTGAATTTATTACAATATTGCTTGTTTTATATTTTGGTTTTTGGTATACAATAGCTCCCCAACCAGGGGTCAAATCTGAACCCCTTGCTTTGGAAGACAAAGTCTTAACCACTGGACTGCCAGGGAAGGCCCAGACCAATATTCTTGATTTAGAAGATTTCTTATGCAATTTCTGGTGACCATCTAAGAATTTCTTCAGGGTGATACATTCACTGAGACTTTAAAACTTTTTTAAAATCTAACTTCAGGGATTCATGATCATTTTTGCAGAACAGTCTTCCAAATATTCTCAGCTAAAGGAAAGAGAGAATATTAGAAATAAAAGACTTAATTTTGATTTTAACTGGTTTTCTGGCTAGGGCACCTGGGAATGCCCACATCTCGCCTTACTTCCTGGTATTTTACTTGCCTTATTTTACTTGCCTTACTTCCTGGCTATAGGAGTTGCCAACCTCAAGTCTTCCTTTCTGTTCTTTCCCCCTGCCCCCTCCCACAATGTAAATGTTGTCTTATCAAACATATGACAGGCCTCTTAGAGAAATGATTGGAGAAGGACTGAACATAATGACCAAGAATACAAAGCCTTACCGAGTTTAATCAACACTAGAGTGGGAGAGAGAGAAAGAAGGAAGGAGTGGATGAATTGATAGATAGAAGAACTTGATAATGACAAGTCCCGAGTTCCATTCTCACCAAATGGAAACAAAAATGCAAGAACACAAGTTTATACTAACCTGTTAATGCCCACTAACTCACATGTTCAGTCACGACTGTGGCCTAGGGCTGGACGTACTAGACTTGCCTGGGGAGCAGATCTGGACATCCTCGCATCTGTTCTCTTCCTGCACCAGGGTAAGCAGGGAGTCATTCTCAGATGTATGCATTGGTTCAAGTTCAGGTCCGAGGTCCAGGGTCAGAGAAACATTCTCTGTATTTATAGGAACCTGGCTTCCCTGGTAGCTCAGATGGTAAAGAATCTGCCTGCAACGCAGGAGATCCCGGTTCCATCCCTGGGTCGGGAAGATCCCCTGGAGAAGAGCATGGCTACCCACTCCAGTGTTCTCTCCTACTGAATCCCATGGACAAATCATGGGATCACAAACTGTCCGACACGACTGAGTGACTAGCAGTACACACATTCCTAGCACTAACTGAGAACTGAACTGTCTGGTGGTGAGGGCACTCTGTTGCCTGAGTTCTGTTATGGTAGAGTCAGCAGGCCAAGAGAGTGCCATCAGTGACCCCTTGGGGACTTTACTTGGTAGGAGGACTTTGGAATTATGGAATAATATTAAATGTACATTTTCAAGTAGTAAGTATTTCTCAGAGATTGTTTTCTTGAAACCAAATTGAGAAGTCAAACTGAAGATTTATTGCCAATATTAGTAAACTACCATTTGGGGGATATAAAAAGGCATCTCTCAATCCAAATTGCCTGAAAACAAGCCTTTTTGGCATCTTTTCTAGGGCTCTGAGTCATGACTCTAAGGTTGCTGGCTTCAGCATATTAAAAGAGAGAAGGGGAAGATGATGACGAAGGAGAAAGCCGCCAATGTATCGAGTTGCTAGTGAAGTGTGCCTTCTGAAGCAGTTCACTAGAAGTTGGTTCCACACACCAGTGCTTTAGAAAAGTCAGGGACCAATTCCATTCTGTTGGGCTTATTCATATAACTGTCCTTGGCCGTGTTTCCAAAATAAATCCGTACATGTATATTGATCGAAGATGATGCTCAAGAAGATGGCGTGGAAAATGTAAGGTCAAATGATGAAATAAAAAATTTTAGGAAGAAGGAGCTTAGATATCTGAGCTTGGATTTTTTTTTAGGTTCCCCAAAGCATAATGACCATAGATTTATAAGAAGAGTTAAAAATTAACACTAGCATCAGAAGAAGGACAGAAGCTTTCAATTTCAAGGAACGAACAGACCTGCGTTTCCAAGGCTCTGTGAAGGGATGGAAGTGCTTTTTGACCTCATCTGCCCTCCCTATAATAGCGCCTTCTCTTCCTCTGGTTAATGCCCCCAAATCCTCTCGGGATCTTTTTCTTTTTAAACAGAGACAGCCCAGTGGTCAAAGGCAACGCGCTGTTAGCCTTAAGCAGCCTCGCTGTCGTCGTTTCCAAACATGAAGCCAGCCTCTGCTCAGACTCTGACGGAGTCCTGGAGGTGAGTTAAGGGTGATTAGCACCAACTGGGCTTTGTTGTGTAACGTGTGAAAAAGAGACTTTTCCTTAAGCCTGGCCCTGAATTTAGGAGGTTACCGTCATGGGCTCTGCTACCCGATGTACCTTTACACCAGAAGCCTTGGTATTCTCTAAAACACTTTTCTTCACTGCTTTTCTGTTTTGCTTTCTCCATCACATTTAAGTGGTCATTTCCATTTGAAGGTGCCAATTTTATGCAACAGGGGTTGTCTTTCTGTGATTACATCATGGTAACCAATCTTAGGAGGTTAACTAGGCTTACTGAAAGTGAACAGTGCTGTCAAAAAATGATAAATAAGCAGTGTTTACTGACTGCAAAAAATTGCACTTTGCATTTTAATTGTAGATGTCAATGACAAAGTGCCTATTCATTTTTGCAAGGCATTTATTTCTTAATTAAACATGCGGCAAGCTGGCCAGTTTTCATTTCCAATGTACTTTTTCAGATAATTCATATCTGTCAAAATAAAAAAGCTTGGATTCATTCTCCTTTTAAGCCCCATTATCTGGTAGCTATCATTATCTAGAGACAATATAGTCAAGTGGTTAAAAAACATAGTCTTTGGGGTAGGAGTAGAGCTAGTAAGTGCAAGTATTAGGATTTAAATCCTATTATTGTCTCCTCACCTTTCAGAGCCTATTTGCCATCTGTAAGATGGGGACGATAGTACTTACCAGACAGGATTATTGTTAGGATTAAATGAAGTTATATACTTAAGGTACAATGGCTCGTAAATACTCAGTAATAGTAACTATTATCAAGAGCATCAGTATATACTTCATCACTTCTTGTTGCAAAAAATGGGCTTTTTTTCAATGCTTTTCAGCCTATCTCTGTCCCCACAGAGTGCCTTTTGGACCACTTGTATTCTGTCTTCATGGTAGGGTTTTTTGGTCCTTTTTTGTGGGTTCTTTGGGGGCAAGAAACCAACTCTAATTTAAATTTTAAAAGGAGCTAGAAGAATAAGGAATCTAGACGGGCACAGAATTGAAGGCAAAGCTTAAAAACCATGTTGGGAGAAGAACAGGAGTCCAGGCACGGGTACTGATGAACCATCTCGGCAGGCTACTCCTACTGGGATGGATCAGCTCTAGCCACTTATTGTCTTTGCATTGCTCCCTTAAAATTTGGAATCCCATGAATCCCAGCCCTACACCTTCGGCAGGGTTGGATGAATAGATTGATTGAGCATTTAACCAGGCTTCAAATTCTGAAGGAGGGAATTCCCCAAAGGGTGCTCTTACCAGTAAACAAAAGAATAATGCTGTGTGGCAAAATCTCTACATGTATATCACATGTGGGGAAGAGAAGGAGGCCACGGGATTATTGCATGAAGGATAAAAATGTGGTTAGTTACCATATGGTAATTGAAGGCCAGAATCTTATTTTAATAATGAGGAAGATGAAAATCTTTTAGAGAGGAAATGTTTCATATCCTTGAAAAAGGTATGAAATACTTTAGCAGAGGCAACATGCTAGGTAGATCTACAACCTACAAAGTAAACATGCCTTCCTAGGACCCCTTTACTTTGGTGTTATTTATGTAGGACTACCAGTGGTGCAGGCTGTTTGCCTCAGCAGTAACTGGAGGTCTAGCTCAGAGTTTGAGCTCTAGGCTCTCCTATTCTCTATTCCCTGAATCTGTGTCCTGTCCACAAAGCACATAGTCCACAAAACATTGAGAAGCCACACAAGCCAAAGACAGGGCTTCTCTTTTACTCTTGATGACCTTGCCTTTGACTTTTACTCATTATGAACTCAAGACCTCATTATTTAACTAAAGTTGAAGTTTTCAAACTTCATTGAAATCTGCATTTGACCAGCACCTGAAGATCTTAAAAAGCAGATCTTTTTTGATTCAAGGAATTAATTCCAAGGATTGTTAACACTATTTCAACTTTTACAGGACCACCTGGGTGTTACCGTATGAATTCATGAATGTTTTTCAACATCTGTTGTCATGAATGATTTTTAAAACCAAGTTCTCTTTTTATTGAGTTGGGTTTTGTTGCTGTTGTGTTTGTTTTTTCATTCTCTTTCTTCTTCTTTTCCAAACTGAAGATCATTTATGTTTTCATATCTACTTGACTAGGCAGTTGTTGTGATGATTCATGAATGATAAATACAGTAATAATAAGCAGCAAAGCTAGATGTGGTCAAAACATTTTTGTTGGCTGCTTTATTGAAATGACAAGTCAGAAATGGAAGGTTTGATTCGCCTTCCCTGCACATCTCTCCCTTTAAACTTCCATATTATTCTCACTGGACACAGAGCACTGTAAGAAATTCTCAGATTGTTCTGTTCTGCAGCCCCCATCCTCTCACCTCTGCTACGTTTTGTCTGAAGGGTAAACTTTATTCACGTGGGGGTGCAGGTGAGGATGTGTATTTGTCAAATACCTGTTTACTTCGTGCGGTCCTGGCAGATGAAGTTTAGTTTTTAATAATAGCTCTTCATTCTTTTATACAGAAGGAAGTTGTACCCTGGATCTAAAAACAATGATTAGGTTTTTTTCTTTTTTTCCCATTATCATTTCATGTTTTCCTTCATCTGCAGGTTCAACCTCATTTCCTGTCAGTGAAAGATTGGGTTACCATGGTGTTTGATACCCTTCTGGTCATTGTTGATAGCCACTACCAACCCAGAGGACAATTTTTCTCCTCATTTTATCATGTAAGTTTGAGAAACAAAAAATAATTTAGAAACTCAAGAATTGATTCTAGTATCAATTGTTCACATGAAATCTATGATATAATGTAAATCTTGGCCTTAGCTATACATTAGATGTAAGTGTCAACCTTGACTGTACATTAGAATCACCTGAGGAACTTTAAATATATATATATATATGTATATATATATAGGTATATATATATGAGATATTGATGTGTAGGCCTCACTTCTGATTTAAATACTTTGGAATGTGTCCTGTGTATCAACATTTTGGAAGGTTTCTAAGTTATTTTAATGTAAAATCAGAGGCAAGTGTTGAAGCAAAATAAACATTGGCTGAATATGGAGGATCCTAAGTTTCTTGTCAGTTTTTTTCATTTCAGGATGTGTGACCACAGGAAGTTCAGTTCATTGGTCTGGCCCTTTGTGTCCTTGTTCATAAATTGAGATTATTGAACAGTATTATCTGCAGTGATTGTAGCCCCAACTTCACCTCTTATTAGTTTTGTGACTGTTGACCTGACAGCTACTTAACTTGTCATCTTCTTTTTCCCTTCCTGTAAAGTGAAGGTAAAAATGAGTGCTTTGCCAGCCTTATAAAAGATTGTAAGGATCCAATTATATAATTTATGGGAAAATGGAAAGGCAAAATGCTCTGTAAATACCAAATAATATTGTTGATCATATAAAAGCACCTGTTACTTAAGTCATTCTCTTTCTTCATGCTTATATGCTAAGATTTGAAGCAAATTGAAAACACGATTTGTTGGTTTAGATTTCGTTTCCCTTAACTAACTGTTGTGCATGCTCTAATTCTGTATCTGCATGGAATTATTTTGGTTCTACCTTATCACTATCCATTGCTTAGGGAATTATAGGGATCATGGGACAATCAGCTGAGTAGCAGAGAATTATAGCTGATTTGAATAAAAATATGGCATAAGTCCTGAACTGTTGCTAAGATTATGAATTTAGCCTGAAACGTCATCGCCTTAGGTCTTCTTTGTGCAACATTTTGTGTGCCTCTGTCCTCCTGCCCCTGAGAGGACCTGGTGTATATCTATCTAGGGCTGAGGGTCAGGAACCAGCTTTCTGACTAGAGAACAAAAAAAATTACGTACTAGATAACATATAATTATATTGGAAAATAGATTTTGCTCAAAGAAGTACTTTCTCTATGATAATTTGTTTTCTGTCAGAAGTGTTCTTATTTCTTTAATGATGGATGAAAAACTTGTTAGCTTATATGGAGGTCTTTGCAGTAGCTATATGCCTCAAATAGCAGCAAGACAAGTTATCTATTAGATTTCTAATAGTGCTACTTAGTTCTTACAAACCAGTAAAAATAATGTCTTTACTAGGCAGCTCCAGGTTGCCTCTTACCTTTGTAAGTCTTGCATTATTATACTTCTTCAAACCGCTATTTCAAAAGCCACTTCCTTTATTTCCTTTGTCCTAGCAGCTGGGTCATTTTAAGTAGCATTGTCATTATAATAGCACTGTATTAACTTAAATAAGAATCCCTTAGCACATGTTTGCTTTTTATCCTTAAAGGACTAAAGCTTAGAGAGCAAATGAGGATAGAATTAAAAACACTTTTTAATGTGTTTTGACTGCAAGGGACAACACGGCCTTTATTGTGTGTCTGCAAATTTGAAGTGGGTAATACTCAGGAATGATCAACGGGCTTTCTTCCTCACTTGAGACATACTGATAAATGTATATAATGTCTGGTGGAACTCTCTAA